AAGATTGAATCATTTGTCAAGTCATTGGGTTACAATGAATTTATTCCATTTGCTAAGGAAAGATACACAAGAGGTTCTCTTGATATTTTGGACTATTCCAACTCTCACTTGTTCATTGGTACCAAGTTTGTTGTTATGTGTAGAGATGAATTCATTAATGAAGGTGATTATGAAAAATTGCAATCCTACTTTACTGATAGAACTATCATTTCCATCTCTAAGGAACAAAGAATGTGCAATTGCATTAACGGCCTTATTGAACTCCAATCTAAGGATGGAAAGATTATTCTCTTTGCTTCCAAGCTTTCTTTGAATGTTTTGAAGGATGAACAACTTGAAAAGATCAAGGCATCCGTAGACGAAGTTGTCCCAATTGATTTGAGTATTCTTGAATCGAGATATCACGTTTCATTGAACAACTTGATTGCTCCACTCTTTGTTGAATAAATATTTATTTTCTCTTTTTTTTAGGAAGTACAATCTCCTGTTTCTCTGAAGAACCTTGCATGAATGTTGTTTCACTTCTCTTGATTGCTACTTTTTGAGAATTGAGGTATTTTTCATGATCGTATTGTTTTACAAAATCTGCAATTTCTGAGCTTCCTTTTTTGCAAGCATAATCTTCAACTGATACTCCATACTTATAATTTCAACATTTCAAAACTGTTGTTTCAAAAACTTACACCGTTCATACTATCTTTTGAAATTTTCCCTGATTGAAGTAATGCCTTTACCATTTCTATATTTCTTTTATCGATAGCAACATGAAGAGCTGTCTATTTGAAAATTAAAATTCATTCAATTTGAAAAAACTTACAGCATCTTTGTCCCAACCCAATCTAGAAATATCTGCTCCTCCATTTAATAAAACTTTGACAACCTCGATATGTCCATCTGAAATAGCTCTCATAATTGGTGTCTTTAATAATTAATTCGACAACTCATTTTCAACTTACATGCTAAATTCTCTATTAATTCCAAAATAAATTCATTACAATCCAACTTACTCCATAAATACTCTTTGGATCATGTTGATTAATATCTACTCTATTCGTACTGATACATCTCTTCACCTCATTTACATCTCCAATTCGGCATGCAGTCATTAATGATCTCAACAATTCAGTTTCACTCTCCAAATATTCTTCCTCTTCGTCCTCCAACACTTCATCCTCTCCATCATCAATATTTTCGGAATTTTCATTTTCCTCATCACTTAATTCAATTATATTTTCATCACCATCCTCATTGGTATTATTTGAAAGAGAATTTAATAGTAGTAAATCATTGGCAATTTCCGAATCTTGCAGAGTAAAGGATGATATATTATTCACTGTTTTATTTTCGCTCATTTTTTTTGTTTTGGAAATTAAAAACTTTGTAATCATCAAAATAAATTAATATTGTAAAAGTTGAGGAATTTCATCCACAACCTTCTTGTCTCCTCCTCGTTTGGTTAATGATTTGAATTGGTTGGTATAGTATTTACATTTCTCTTCATTATTCATATTTAGTTTGGCTAATTCATAGTAAGCTGATGAACAGTTTGGATCCACATGAATTGCTTGTTTAAAATCCATTTCTGCTGATTGAAGATTATTCATATCCAAATAGGTGTTGGCTCTCAATATGTAACATGTTGTGTTGAGTGGATCGAGAGTTATGCATTGAGTGAAATCAATAATTGCCTTCTCCTTTTGTAAGAGAACATTCTTGTAGAGGAGAGCTCTACTGTGAATGGCAAAGTAAAATCCTTCTGATATTTCAATACATTTAGTGTAGCATTCTTCTGCCTTTTCTGGATTTTCTGACTTGTACAGGGAGGCCATGTTGTACCATGCCTTGTAACAGTTTGGATCCAGAGAAAGGCACTTGTTGTAATCCTCAATAGCAAGTGTTAGGTATTCTTTGGCTTTGTCCTTTGTTTCAGGCCTATCATCAAGAGCTAAATATTTACAGGCATAAATATTACCTCTCATAAAGTAGGACGCATGAGATTTCTTTTCTGCCTTCTTGACAGATTCTGAGAGAATCTTCTCTGCATCATCTGGTCTATCTAGGTCAAGATAGAGCGTTGCCAATTGAATGTAGGCATTATAATATTCGAGATCGAGACGCTGGGACATCTTTTGGAATCCATAGGGATCATGCAGAGATGGGTTGATTTGAATAGACTTGAGCAAGTCTCGTTCTGCCAATTTATACAATTGCTCATCTTGATGATGGACATATTCCAAAATTGATCTGATAAATTCTTGCTTTTCCTTTTCTACCTCATTTTCACTATCTTCAATGGACTTGGATGATTTGGCAGTAGATATGGAACTGTTATCATTACCAAGTCTATAATTCAAAACTAGAGTTTCAGAACGAATATTAATTGAAATCTTTCCATTTCTTGGATAGAATAACACTCTCTCGTTTTCTTTAACTCCATCAATGATTTTCCTGATAGATCCTAAATTTCTTATCATTGCAAAATTGTTGGCTACTTTAGAATTGGCATCTCCAAGACAGGTGTAAAGATCAGTAATCGAAGCTATATCAATACCTGAGAATACTGCAAAATTTTTCTTGTAATAGAATTGTGCCAATCCTGATTCTTTCACAGTTCCAATCTTTTCCTCTTGTGTTGACTTTCCAAATAAAAGATGGTACTTGAATTTATACATCCAGAGTACTCCTCTCAATAAATAGGCATCTGCACAGTATTGGTTCATTTCTATTAATTTCATTAAATCTTTAAACGCAAAATTAGCATATTTGGCGTATCTGATCTCGTCTCCTCTCTTTTCCAGTATTGAGTTGGCAGCTGTTAAATATAGAAGAGATCTAAACAGGTACGAGCTAACATTGCTGTACTGTGGATTCAACTTGATACTCTTGGTATAATCTGATACAGCGTTAACCATATCACCTACTCTAGGATTATGATAGAAAAGACCTCTAAAGAAAAATGCTTTGAAATCCTTTGGCGATTCTCTTATGAGTATGTGATAAAATTCTTCTGAAATATCCTTTCTTTGATTGTATGATTTTGGTGTACCTGGTTTGAAATCTTTAAGAGAAACTGTTGAGCAGAGAATTTTCAAAAAGTTCTCAAATCTTTGTCCGTATTTAAATGGTTTTTCGACTGAAACCTTTTCCTTTGTTACATTTCTAATCTTTGCCTTGAGTGATTGCATACCACTCTTCACTACCTTTTCAACTTGTTTTCTACTGTTATACCTTTGAAGAATATCAATAATTCCCAAAAAATAAATTTCCTTTCCATCAAGAGAAGAGCAGTAATTTTTCTGTCTTCCACTAAATGATGTATCGTCTGGTTGTGGTAATCTGAACTTTGAAACCATTCTATTTTCCTCGGATGACCTTTGTTCATGATTATGAATACCTAAGAGAAGTGAGTAATCCATAATGTCATTCTCCTGCAGGAATATAATATCATTTTCGAGTCTTCTATAAAAGTTTTGTTTTAGAGTAAGGTTAAGTTTGACATCTCCCTGATTGATATCCTTATCTTTTAGAATTGGTGATTTTTTCTTTCGTTCACTCTCACTAGCCACTCTTCCAGCAGTACTTCCTTTCAAATCGTACTTTCTATGTATCGTCAGTGGTGTGAAAAAGACATTATTCATTACTATAAATCTGTACTTTGTTTGTTTCAGCGTAATTTCAAAAAGTAAGTAGAAATTACTGAGTAGAGTATAGGGATTCTTTTGTACATGTTTGTGATAGTTTGGTAGCATTTCCAGAGCTGTTGCTAATTCTTCTTCAGTTACGGATTTCAGCAGATATCCAGTTGATTTTGTAATAAAGAAAAATGCACCAGATTTACCTGGAGTTCCCACTCGGGAGTAATTTCCTGTATGACATCCCATTTGTTTTTTAAAATCAAATTCTGAAACTTTGAATAATTTTCTATTGAATATTTCAATATCTAAATTATTCGAAACTTTGAATACTTACCTTAAATGTTGGAAAACAGAGGGGCAAAATACTTTAAACTCAGCTCCAATATCTCTAAATATATAAACCTCATCAGTTGAGTACTCGCTTTCTAAGTCTTTAATTTCTTGATCATCTTCATCCAAGCTGATTTTGTGAATAAGACGATCAGTTCCTCTATTAATAATTTTCATAATCTCGTAATCTTTATCAGAGCTATTGACTTCCTCTCCAAGTTTGTTCTGTGAATTTTCAATCAATTCCTGCATGTTTGTCATGTACATGTCTGTTTTGTTTTCCTTTTTCAGCAGTGAATTTAATCGTTTCCTAAACTCTAGAGAGTTTCCTCTACTTGCTCTACTTGTTTTCTGTTCATCTGTTCGGGAAGTTTCCGTAAATCTATCTGTAACAAATGATGTTGAATCAAATCGATCCATCCTAGTTGTTTGTTGTAAATTGATTTTAGGAACCTTGACAGCATTCTTTTTTTTCTGAGCTTCCTGTGAATCATCGTCCACCAAGTTGGCTTGTGAATCAGACATGGGTATAGAATCATAATCATTCCACTCTTCATCCTCTTCATCTATTTCAGATCCACTTTCGTCATAACAAGTTAATAAATCCTCATTAAAACTTTCACCAGCTTGTGATGATATTTCAGATTGGACTAGAGCTGTTGTTGTTGATGGTGGTGGGAGAGGGTCAACAAGAGACCTTGGAGTTGTTCTCTCATTCGAAACTCCATCCAAAATAATCTCACCAATATTAGTTTCGGAAGCTGATGATCTTCTCTTGTTGGAATTTTCACTCGAACATAGTGAATCTGAACTGGACGAACCTCCTTCTGCTTTCTTTGAATGTTGATATCGTCTCTTCCTATCCGTTATTAAATTTGACGTAAGACTTTTGTCACTAATCATTATAATTTACAATTTCTTCCAATTATTACTATTTTACAAATGTACATAAATCATAAACGCGACTAATATTCCATCAACAAGTATATCTATTAACAATTAATAATAATAATATTAAACCTATGGATGATCAACAAATAACAATAAAGATGATCTTTCTTATTAATGATGAAATATTCGCGAATATTAAACTACTAATACAAAAAAACACTGCAAGTAGACTTCTGATGTTGATGATTTATATAAATTCTTAGCCAGAGAGTCTTTGTGTCGCTTCTTCTTTAGAGAAGACTAGAGTGAGAGGCTTTTGAATTTTTTCTTTCGGAAAGACAGCGCAGGATAAATCAAGATTGTTTTTTGACTTTTGGATACGGTTTGCAAATGAGCAAGATGAGAAGGTAATGGGAACAAGATAATAGATGAGGGTTGAAAGAGTTTTTTTGAGATTTTGATCAACCATTGAGTTGATTGTTAAGATTGATGAAATTGTAATCAAGAAAATTGATCCGTGTGAATTGTTTATGATGAATATTAATTGTTCAATATTATGGAATGAGTAGGAATGGATTGTAATTGGTGTCAAAATAACTGAATGAAAAAAAGTTGTCCATTCATTCACATGTTTTGTTCAAATATTCATCAAAAAAGAATTTGTTGCTTCCCGCTAAAATAAATTTTAAATTGAAAAAAAAAATGTCTACTAGTAATAACCGTGCATCGCTATCAAATAACGATGAAGACGAATCGCCAACTAGACTCACCATCAAAGAATTGAAGAGCATTCTCACAGAACACGATGTTGAATTGCCTGCTCAAGATAAGAAAAGAGACTTCTATGTTGACCTTTATAACAAACACATCAAATCTAAAAAACGTAAAAATGATGAAGTAAATGATGAATTAAGTGATGATGAAAATGAACCAGAACAAAAGAAGGTCAAGTCATCAACAGAAGAAGAACCTGCTGAATCTTCAACAACAACAACAACAACAACTGAAGAAATTTCACAACCTACTGTGGAGGAACCAAAAGTTGCAACACCAATGGCCGAAGTTAAAGCCAAGGTTCAAAGAAAGACCAAATCATTTGCTCCAAGCTCTTTGGAAGCTGAAACCCCACAAGTTAAGGTTTCTGATGTAAGAAGAAGAACAGTCGGAAACAGAGATTTGCAATATAGACAAAGACCAGCCAGAAATGAGATCAATCAAGGATTATTGCAAACTCCTGTTAGCAGTAATAGAGCTCCACCACCAACCCCACTCTCACCAACTGATTCTACTTTGGTTCAAGATATTAGACCTTCTGAAATCGATCAAGAACAAAATACTCTCGGAAAAGTTTTGACTAGCATTTTGATGGCATCTATTTGGGCTCTCTTCTTCTTCTGTGTTTATTTATTCTTGTTCGGACAAAGAGATCCACATTTACCATATGGTGGAAGATATTGTCAATCCGAAGATGGTCTTTTGCAACTCAAGCCTCGTGATAATTGTTTGCCATGTCCTGAAAATGGTTATTGCTCTGATGGCAGACTTGTTTTGTGTCAAAAACCATACGTCATTAAGAATGCTGTTTGTGTAGAAGATAGTAGAATTACTTTGAATGCTCTTGAATTTATTACTGAACTTCAAAATGAACTTTCTTCCAAGTCTGGAAAATTCATTTGTGGAAGAGCTGAATCAAATTCAACATCTTTGGAAGATATTAAGGCTAAATTGACTGTTAAATTGGCTGGAAGTGGCGTTGCTGTTGAAGATGTTCTTGAACAAGTTACTAAACTCGTAAAGAGCTCTCCACAAAACTTCCAAATGAATATTGCTCCAGTTGAAGGATCTGATAAGGAAATGATCTTCTCACTCAACCCAACTCTTCCATTCGACTGTAGAATCCAGAAGGCTACACAAGAAAATAAGGGTGTGATTATCACTATTTTGACTTTGGCAGTTGCCATTCTCATTGCAAACTTTTATAAGAATAAGGTTGAAAGAGAACAAAATGATGTAGAAGATCTCTTCCGTATCTCAATCACTAGAATTAGAGAAGAAGAAGAAATTATTGTTGAACAATTAAGAGATGAACTCAAGGAAAAGTATGGTCATGAAATTGATGTAGAAAAGTATTGGTCTCGTGTTGAAGATTTGCTTGCTTCTGACAGTCGTTTGTCTCAAATACCAAGCAATAGTGGAACTGCTTACCAATGGGCTGTTGCTACTGACGAACAAGAATAATTCACTAAATATTTATCACAACCTAGGTTGTTAAACCTCTAGAATGATTAATTTATGTTGATTACAGTGAACATATAGTTGTTCACTCCAAATCATTGTATATTTCTAATAAATTTCACTTAAAAATTATCTAATATTTGAAGCTGTGAGCTATTTGATGTACCTTACAAAGAGAGGTTGATTGACTGTTATTCTCTCCTTACTGCCTTGATGAATTTTTGTAATTGTTTTGCATTCTCAGTGAGCTTACCATCATTCTTGTACAACTTCTTCCATTGACTCCAACCTCCCTTCAAGAATTTAACTTTTGGAACAATTAAATCTCTTTGAATGGGATTTTGATTTTCAGGTAGATTTGCTGTTTCTCTAATCAATATATCCTGAAACAATTTAGCAGCAGTTGGACCTCTCATTCTACAATAATAACAATGAAAAACAACCAATTTAACCATCTCATCTTCACCAGAAACAATATTCTTTCCAATTCCAACATTTCCACCTTGAGTTCTCAATTGAGAAAGTAATTGTTTAGCAATAATGGATTTATCCTTTGTTCTAGCCTGCATAATTCTATCCCTATTATATTGAATAATAGAATTGACCAATTCTACAGCCTTCTCTTCATCAAAATATGGAATATTTGTTGATCCGATAATATTTCCTCCTTCAAAGTCGGCATCTCTAACATCAATGACTCTGACAGAATGTGGTGCCTCTTGTAGGAGTGCTGCAAGTTCAGTGGCTTGGATTTGTGGGATGCTAATATGAAGATCTTCTGAAGACATTTTTTTCAAGTTTGAAATTGAAAATAATGTTTCTCTTGTAATCGATTTTTATTGGAAAGTAGAATAATGTTATATTTGGCAAACTCAATTTCGGTTTGCTTCGAGGTTACATTCCATTAATTTTTATTTTGTAATTTAAATATTTTTTGTAATTCTCTAGTATATTAATATTTAATATTTAATAATTTAAAAAAAAATGGATAAGAAACATTTGGTGCTGATGGGTCCGCCAGGTGCCGGAAAGACAACCACCAGGTTCGTATTAATATTAAGAATTTACCATCTTCATCACCATAATTATCGGAACAACTTTTGTTTGGATATTAAATTATAATAATAATTTGATAATTTAGTAAATTATTGGGAAAATTATTGAACATACCAGTCTTTGATATTGATGATGATTTATTGGAGGTTGTATGGAATATGCCAGTCTCTGAAAAACTTTCTCAGGTTGGTGAGGAAGGCTTTATTCAAGCTGAAGGAAAAGCCTGTTTGGAATTGAGGATGGAATCATCGGAGCCTACATTGATTGCTCTGAGTGGGAGTGTTCCTCTTCATAGGGATGCTATTGAGAATATTAGAAAACAGGGAGTGGTGATTTATTTGGATATTCCTTCGACGATTATTGAAAAGAGATTGCATGAAATGAAGGTGGATCGAATTGTTGGAATGAAGGAGGGACAGACATTGGCCGATTTGTTGGATTATAGAAAGACGTTTTATGAACAGTTTTTTGATGTGAGAGTGGCTTGTTCTGTGGCACAACCTGTTGAGGAGGTAGCTCAGAGAGTTGTTAATGCTTGGAATTTGTATAGGAATGTGAATGGAGAACAGGATTATGTTAGTACGAGAGGAGGTCTATTGGATGCTGGAGTTTCATTTTCACACGTTGTTACAAAGGGTTTGGCTTTGGATGGAGGTCTCTATGTTCCAAGAGTTTTGCAATCTTGTTCATTGAATGAGTTGGCATCTATGGCCTTGTTAAAATCATATCAGGATGTTGCATTGAGAGTTTTGGAAAAATTCCCACTTGGAACAGAGTTAACCTCACAAGAATTAAGAAAGATGATTGACACTACTTATTCCACATTTTCACATCCAAGTGTTGTACCACTTTCTGAGAAAATCTCCCCTGAAAAACATCAATATCACATTGAATTATTCCATGGACCAACGGCAGCGTTTAAGGATGTTGCCCTTCAATTAGTTCCTAAACTATTTGTTCATGCCAAGAATCAATCAGAGGAATTGAAAAACTCAAAATTCTTAATACTTACCGCAACGAGTGGAGATACAGGAGTATCTACAATGGAAGGATATAAATCAGAGGCCGAAGCAGGTGTCTCAGTGCTTGTGTTGTATCCTCAGGGTGGTGTAAGTGAATTACAGGAGAGGCAAATGTTGTGCTCTCAAACTGAAAATATTCGAGCTGTTAGTGTGAAAGGAAATTTTGATACTTGTCAAACAATTGTAAAGGAAATTTTCTCTGATAGAGCGCTAGCAACAGAGTTGGAAAATACTTTTGGACTCAGACTTTCAAGTGCTAATTCAATTAATTGGGCAAGAATTATTCCTCAAGTTGTTTATTATGTGACAAGTTATTTGGAGCTTTACAAGAGGTCTGTAATCAAACTTACTGAACCCGTTGATATTGTTGTACCGAGTGGAAATTTTGGTAATTTACTTTCTGCGATATTTGCTTGGAAAATTGGATTGATTTATGTGAACAAGTTCATTTGTGCCTCAAATGAAAATTGTATATTAGCCGATTTTGTAAAAACAGGAATTTATGACATTAGGGAAAGAACTTTACAAAAGACTACATCTCCTTCAATAGATATACTAGTATCTAGTAATATTGAGAGACTCTTATATTTGATTTGTAATAATCCAACTCAGGTGGCTCAATACATGAAACAATTATCAGAGGAAAAGTGCTTTGAAGTCTCTCCAGAAATTAAGGAATTTTTACAAACCAAGTTTGATTCATGTACTGCTAGCGAGTCGCAAGTTGCCCAAACTATTAATTAGACTTTGAAGGAAAGCAAATTAATTATTGACACTCACACAGCCGTAGCTCAATATGCAGCCAACAAGTTTTACAATAGTCAAATACCAATGTTAATTGCATCAACAGCACACTGGAGCAAATTCCCAATCAGTGTACTTCAAGGTATCAAACCTGAATTACAAATATCGGATCTTTCTTCAACATTTGGAGAATTGGGCAGTGTACTTGCTACAAACACCAAACCACACCCAAATATTTCTCAAATTTTAGAAAAGTCAGCTGTGCAATCTATTAATCTTATTGATAAGGATGAGGTGGTAATGTTTTTGAAACAATTAATACAGAAATAGATTGCATTCAAATAGTTTTCTTAATTTTTATTTTCGAGTGAATGAAGTTCGACTCTAGATGAACTATTACCATAAATATGCTTGTTGCTTTCTGTAACTGTGAAGCTGACATACTTGTCTACGTTTTTGTATTGGTAATATTCACCAATTAATGTCAAAAACTGTTCATTAGCAATATAATTATCTAAAGGTTCCACTTTAACTTCCACTTGCTCTTCTTGTCTCTTATTTCTGTAAATATTTAACAATACCTTGGCATAATTTTCCTTAATTCTATTAAAATCGAATAATAATTGCAAAGGAATCCAACTAGTTCCAAATCTACTTCCCAATAAATATCCTAAAATAGCACCAATGGTGTCTGTATCGTAACCAAGGGTCACTGTTGATCTCAATAAAAGATTTGGGAAATTATTGAAAATGTCAGCAGAATCGTAGGAAGGTGTTGGTGTTTCAGGAGTTGATTTGTGGTAATGGAAGATAATTTCTGGATTTTCTGGTAGTAAAATACAAGCAATAGCATGCATACCAGCCAAGAGGCAGAAACCTTGATTAACGTGAGCTCTCATATTCTTCTTTTCTGGTTTGTAAACTCTGGCAAGGTCACTAATCTTGTTTCTCAATTCTACCAACAATGTGTTTTCCTTTTCTGTAGCTCTCAAGGTCTTAATAATGACAAAGAGTTCTTGTAAAACTTCAGAGGCAGCATTGACTGATGGTAAGGTCTTGTAAATCTTCCATTTCAATTCATTTTCTGGAGTTTTGTTAACTACTTGATTAGCATTAGGAACATAAGCTTTCTTCTTTGGTTTCTTTTCTTCTTTCTCTTGTTCTTCTCTTTCTGTTGTGATTCTAGAGTTATTCCACCATTTATCTTCTGCCTTTTTAACTCTATCAGCCAAGTTATCTAAAATCCATTCAATAGCCCTCTCTTGACCCAATTTAAGGAACATGTAAGCACATAGAGAAGTAGCAAAACAAGTGGCAGCTCCTTCAATTGTGGCATGTGTTGTCAAATTTTGCTCGAATGAAAACTTTTCAATCATTTGAATTGCCTTTTCATCATCACTTTCGTGGGAGAAGAGAGAAAATACAGCTGTAGCAATGGCACCTCTCATAATACCACCGATACCACTTGATGAAGAACCAGCTTCGTGAGCTGGAATATTCTTTTTGAGATTTGTGAATGCTTTAGAACTGTTGGCTCCATAATCTCTAAATGCTTGAACTCCTCTACCAATTTCTTCAACTTGACCACTCTTCATTGGATATTTACATGAACAAGTTTCAAATCCTCTCACAAGCCATTCACCCCAAATTTCACCAAAGTATTTTCCACTTGGATTCAACTCACAATATTGTACTATGGAATTAATCAAGGCCATTCCCTGTTGAGTATCGTCAGAGTGAATACCTGGGAATCTACATCTGGATAAGAATGATTCAAAAGGTGACTTTTTCCTCTTATTCTTCTTTTCATCACTTTCGGTCGATAAAGTTTTCAATTTTGAACTGATTAAATCATCACTCGGAAATAGAAAATCAATTCCATCCTTTGTTATATTTTGCAATTTCAATGATCCATCATTTCTCTTTTCAATAATCGTTTTAAAATCGAATAATTTCAACATATTTTCATCACCAAATAATTCTTCAATTTCTTCTTGTCTCCAACCTTCCACTGGACAACCAATTACATCTCCCCAAGTAACTCCAAACAATGCACCCAACATTCTATCCTCCTCATCATTCAATTCCAAATCACTCAACAAATTGCTTGATTCCAATTGTTCAAATTTTTCATTCGCAATTTCCTTGATCTTTTCCGAATGGAATAAAATCCCAATATGTTTAAGAAATTTGTTCTCTGATTTTTGATTGTTATTCTTGTTGTTGATCATCTTATTTTACAAGTGTGCGGATCAGAGGCTTTGATTTTGTCGCTTTTTTTTTTGAAAAGTTCATTGAAAAGTTTGGCGGGAAAGTTTTTAAGCAAATTCGATTTCAAAGTTGAAATTGAAATTTTCATGCAATTCAATTCGAAGGAAAAGTTGAAAGTAGTTAATTGAATTTGAAAGAACGGAAGTGAAATTCCGTGTGTGTTTTGTAAACTGAAGAGATGGTTTCATGAAATTCAAATTCGAATAGTTTTTTTAGTCCAGTAACTATCGTTTCTGTCTAACTCATCTGGCATTTCAATAGATTGAAAGGCTTCTTTTCCACTAAGAATTCAGATTATGGCTAAAGCCAAGAAAAAGCAATTAAGGTCCAGTGCTATCATATTTCATTTATTATGATCAATGTTGGCTACGGCCATATCACGATGAATGCACCTCATCCCGTCCGATTTGAGAAGTTAAGCATCGTCGAGCCACATCAGTACTGAGGTTGGAGACAACTTGGGAACCTGTGGTGCTGTAGTCTTTTCTTCTTTTGCATCAATTGTTGTTTATTCAAAATAACATTGTCCCAAGTGAAGTGATCTATTTTTTATTGAGGAGTGCAAGTTCACTGACAGAAAGATAATTTCTATTAATGTTCAGTTTAGTCAATTGTTGCATTTCTCCTAAATATTTAGCTCCAGCAGGTCCAATTAAATTATTGCTAATATTGAGAATGGTCAATTTTTCCATTTTGCTTAGATATATAGCTCCTTGATTGCCTATCTCATTAAAACTGATATTCAGATTCGTCAGTTGTGGAAGTTTACTTATTAAATCAGCTCCGTTATCATAAACAAAATTCTTTGAAATGTCCAAAACTCTCAAGTTTTTCAATTCACTCAAATATTTAGCTCCCTTGTCGCCAATATTATTTCCATTGGTATCAAGACTAGTCAATTGTGACATTTCACTGATGAATTTTAATCCTTCATTCGATATTTGATTTGAACTAATATCTAGAATTGTCAATTGACTTGAAATTTCACTAATACTCTTTGCACCTTCCATGCCAATCATATTATTGGAAATATTGAGAGTGGTCAACTGTTTCATATCACTTATTGATTTAGCTCCTTCAGGTCCAATTTCATTTGAGTTAATTTTAAGATTAGTCAATTGGTCCAATTTTGATAAATATTTAGCTCCCTCAGGTCCAATATTATTTTGACTAATATTAAGAAAAGTCAATTGATTCAATGCACTGACATATTTTGCACCTTTATCATCAATCATTGAACAGTTTCGAATATCAAGAAAAGTCAATTGTTTCATCTTTCCAATAATTTGATAAAACATTTCACCAGGTTTTCTTTCAACACAAACTCGAAATTGAACAATATTCGATAAAAACCGACTCGGAAGCAAATCATCAATGTGTTCTCGTTTTTTTTCAAATTTCAATTCAAGTTTCGAATACCATTGAATGACATTCATCCACTGTTTAGAGACCAATGCATAATTCATCACAATAAATTTAAAATCTTGATCGCATGATCTGAGAATTTCATAAATTATTTCGTCAGGAAGATTGTTTTTAACTGCTGCTTTCATGTTTTCACTCATTTTTTCAAATTCGAAATTGACATGATTTGTGAATTAAACTTTACCTAAGGTTTGTTCTACAGAAAGAATAAAAGGTGTATTATTCTAAACTTAATGTAGGGGCGGTGGTGTAATGGTAACATCGCAGCCTCCAAAGCTGTGGCCGGGGGTTCGATTCCCCCTCGCCCCCTACATTTTAATTTTCCCAACATTTTACTTGATGCGCACTAACAATTAGACCATTCATCCTTCGTTTACATAAAATTTATTGTAATTTTTCATCAATCAAGATCGTGTTGTATTAACATCGGTTCAAAATAATTCCATCATCTAACCTTGATTAGTCAATAAGCCAATCCATTTGATCAATTTCCGAAACTATTTTCTCTGAATTGGACCATCAAATCAACACGTTGTAGGACTCTCGATATTGTTAGGGTAATAAAGAGAGATTACAACTTGGTTGACTGCATCATCTACACGGATGCGAAATGGAGAAGAGCATTTTTGGTTTTCTTCAGGTTAAACTGTTTCTGTATGCGAAAATCAAAGCTTTGAAGTTTATCCAATTAATCCTCTGTAGTGTGTGCTTGCATATATTTGTATATTGGATTTTATACAATGAAATTGTAATCTAATTACTGTAGTGGTAGATTATTCGTGCAGAAGATAGCTAGTGAGGGTGTTTTTCCACATTATCTTGGCGAAGAGGTAATATTTCTTTAGGTCAAACTTATTCGAAACAAGATTGCCTAGATTCGTCTGCTAATGGTCATGTTATCTAGTTACTGTAAATGATGAAGATGATATTATTAAGTAATTAAACATTCTCATTTCCATCTCATTTCAATGATTTCTGAATGAGATTTCATGCTTTAAATTATTAGAAACGTTTCGTATTTGGATAAAAGAAAATTTTGTACATTTTCAATCATCTAGGAATGGATGTCTCCAAACCTTATAAAGCTCCTTTTTTAATTGGTCATTTGGGTGAGAAAATTACTTTTGTGAATGTGTGAAAACTTTACAATAATTTACAGTTGGTGGAATAGTTTACAGTGTGTGGAATGAACTGGTAAGGTCACTGTTCTGTAGTTGATGATTACGTTCCGCTTTCAAACAGAGTAAATGAGTAAACGTTTATTCGATTCGAATAACATCAGTTAAAGAAATTGAGTCGTGCTAAGAAGTGTTGACAGCTGGCAGTTTCACTAATGTGTAAAAAGATAGTCATCTTTTACCAATTGTTGACAATTCCTAAAGAATCCTTTTAACTTTTTCACACTTGTGATGATTAGTATACAATATCTTCAATTCGAAATGATTCTCGACACGCTTAAATGACCCTGCTCTTTCACGATGCTCAAGAGAATCATCCTGCCGCTCAGAATCCTCAATATTTTTTACAATTTCACTTCTCAATTGTATACGAAACTGAAAGAATCCACATTTTACAATCAGAATCAGACGAATCATAAGGATGCCATTGAGCAATTAAGAATCGCGTATCATCACCATAATGATTGTAAGGAACACACCCAAATTCGCTACATCCCACTTTGCCAACAGGACGAATCCAAAATTGTGTCATTCCAAAACAAGTCAATTAAATCCCATTAGTGAAAAAAGAATCCAAATTGACATGAAACCAATTAGCAAACAGATGTTGTTGAGATGAGAATCAGAAATGTAGCACCAAACCAAACACAACATATCAGAGATACAGAGTTTTAGATTCACAGAATTTAAACTTGGACTAGCTTATGAAAATAGAAACACTTTCAGATTACGTTGTGACGGTTTGGATTCGGTTGGGTTACTCCTGCAAGTCATCCAATTCCTAAAGTGAATGTTTGATTGTGTTTGCATCTCATGAGTTGATGGAACGAAACTATGAACTGTTTTGTTATGTGAATGAACTATCACATAATATTCGAAACCTTTCTCTTTTCTTTCGTCTACTTGTTTGTTTACATACAACAACAACAAGAACATGATAAATGCATCAATTTGTAAAGCCAGTATAGACAGTACTCACCTGAATTCGTTCGAGGATAACCAAACTTTCAGATAATTACAAACTAGATCAAAGGACCGTACCTTCATGCCAAAACAAGTTTCACAACCCGGGGAAAGTTAACCGCCAACAGGAGGAATAACACATTCTAGCTGTTTGGCAACTTTTTCCCAAAACTTTCTCTATACCCACGAAATTTGCTTCAAACGTCAACTGCCACAAATCTAGAAGATAAATCGCAAATGTCATGTCTAGAAACATTCATACACACCGACGCACCCTCTTGGAATCACCACTGAGTCGGCAAACACACGAAAAACTATTTGAATTTTGCATCCATTTGATTATTGTCATCATTAAAAAAAACAACAACACATTCTTCTCTAGTTTAGTCAATTAGAGAATTAAACAAATAGATTATCCTAGTCCCTATTTTCAATACTTTCATATCTGATACTACCACTAACCATGTCCATTCTAACATTTAATGAACAAATGCCAATTACTCAACACCTGACAGGTGTCAATGTTGAATTTAATGATATGAATCAAATATTTGAACTGTTTGATAATGAATCATTTCTACCATCTACCTGTTCCCAATCTAATAACTTTTGTACATTAAAAGAGTCAGTTTCGATAACTAATCCAGACGAAACTCCTTTACTTTCTCCATTCCAACAAGATAGCATGAATTTGATTGAACAAATCAATAATTTATTACATTATGAAAGAGTTTCGTACTCTGCAAGAAAGCAAAGTACAGATATTGGCTTATTACAAGATGAAGAACTGTCAGAAATCAAAAAGTATTTCAATCATTCACCAATAATGCCAAAAGAAGAACCAGTGCCCACAAAAGATGAAATTTACAGACTCATTGATATTGAATTGAAAGATGTTCCTTCATCACTTGGTCTTGTATGGTCATCATTTAACATGCCAAATGCCAACACATCACAAATGTCTAATATTCATCCTAACAATTATCAACAAACTTTTGAATGCTCCTCCTCACCTTCATCAACAGCTTCAGTTGCGCAGTCCCCAACCACTGCCTCATTACCAAAGAAAATTTCCAAAAAGAGAAAAAAGTCACCTGCCAACAACAAAACTACACAACAACCATACAGAGTGCGATTTGGTCACAATCTGTTTGAAGAAATTGTGTTTAAGAAATCAAATCCTAATCAAAAGTTTATTATCTTTAAATAAATTAACAAAACATCTTTTCACATGCTTTAGTTTCTTCTAGTTTCGAATAATACATTTGTATTCAGTTTCTTCAACATGTGTGAATTGTTTCTGATACAAGATTTTATTCAAGAGAGAAATATCTCAAAGTTAAAGAATACGCACTTATTGAACTGTTTGTGTGAAGAATTCAATTAAACTCACAAGAAATAACGTTTGTGTATACAAGATTGGATGCATACCTCCATTTTTATTCGATAGTTTACCAATTTCTGTTTGATAGACCTCTTGAGATTGTGCGAATTGTTATAGATTTATTGAGAGAGAATCTCGACGAAACTAATCTATCAACTGTTGCGGCAATTTTCTTACCAATATTAACTGATTTCTTTCGTATTGTCAATATTCGAAGTGGGAAACCATGTCATGATGGAATGCGTATCTTCAAGGTTTCAATCTCTCTCACACTTTAGTAGAATACTTTCGTCTTTTTTCAACAACATTCCAATAAAATTCATTTCAACCTTATTGAACGATGGATTACGTTGGAGAAAAATATTTACGCACATCCATTTTGGTTAGTGAATACGAACAGGTCACAGATTCACAAAAAATCAAGTTCACTTATTCTGCTGACTTGTTTCATCAACTTGTTGTAAGAAACTACAGTAAACTGTAAAACTGTAGATGAGAATTTTGAAAAAAGTTGATTATCATTGTAATCTTTAATTCTCATACTCGTACATTCGGTAGGGGTACGCCTCCAACTTATTCAACTTTCGAATAAGAAAGTTCTGATCCAAAGTGGAAGATTGCTTACCTCAGAGTTATCTCAATTTGTGAGGCAATGACCAAAAACTTATAATCTTCTCTAGGATAACAATAATGCGCTAGGAAATAATCCAAGATTTGTAGAGTGTCTTTAATTTTTCCTTTTTTTCCTTTCTTTGAAGGATTCGAATAATGTTACTGGAAAATGTGCATGTTTGGATAATATTGGAGGAATTTAAATGTGCAGTAAGCACATGGATGAATTACAAGATTGAAGATAATCCAATATATGTATTCATGCTTACTGTACTTTCGATATGGTTATTGGAAACAACAGTGAAACTCTTTTCGAAAAGATTGATCTTCAAGATTCAAAGATTGACCTTGATATCTTTGTTTATTATGGCAACTAACCAAGTGCATTATCTTTCTCATTTTTGCGTAATATTGCAATTCCTGGACTTTCGAATAGTGTAAAATAGAATGTAAGATTGTTACAAGGTTTTGGAATAATTAAATGCGCACTTGTGGTAGATTCTCATTTCCAGTTCAGCCAAATCTTTGAACAAATCTGTTCGAATCCTTTCTCGTCTTTACTGTAGATTTCACTGTAGTCAATTATGCAATGATTGTAAAGTTTATACAAGTTGACATTGTAATTGGGGTTCGATGAAGATCCAGGATTAAATCTCGCTCTACTATTAGAAAGTTAGCTCGCACTCCAAATTTGATGAATGCACTTAAATAGTTTAGTTTCGGCAAGTGTATGTTAATGAGTGATGGCGTCAGTACAGCTATCAGGAAATTGAAATACTTGGTGTATAGTTGAAATCCATTAAGAATCATTTACAGTTTTTTTCAACTGAAGTGGGTGAAAGGATTCGCTCGTTGTACATTATTCGAAACCTGTAAATTAAACATAAAGGAAAATCTTAATTTGCAATAAAAATGGTAGCATTCGGCTCGGAATGGTGCTAGACTCCCGGGTATCAGTGAATTGTAGTTTCAGCTATTCTTTTAGCCTGTTTCTTCTCCTTTCGAATAAAATCTAGATACCTTTAATACAACACGATAACTCCAACAGTAACTACATAATGAATATTTCATGCTATCACAATTCAGAAGATAATCCATCAAAGATATTTTTCTGCTCTTTCTACAACCTGTCTTGTTGCCAAATGTAAACAAGACGAAACTTGACTAAATTGCATTTTTGTGAAGTTTAAACTTGGGTGCACATACTAGTTTGTAGCTTTACACCAATATTTTTGAGATACGAACGGAAGAAGTCGTACTAATTGGTAAAGATTCCCATTCACTATTGGAAAGGATTCAAAATCCCTCTCGAATTCGATGTTATTGAATAATTCCATTTAATTTTCATGAAACAAGTAAGGAAATGAGAATATATCCTTGGTCGATTATGGATGTGCTGTCATTTTACTGTTAACATTATTATTGAGATTCGTCTTCGAGTACAGAAAGTCCAAACTTACTGTAGTTTTCGAAAATTGACGAAACAAACTAAATTAATTTCAGAATAGTCTCAATTCTCAGTACTCATAAAGTTTGAAGAATTTTAGTTAACTGTAGATGATGAAATGGTAAAAAACTGTAAATTACAATTTGTAGATTCTCTTCCACATACGAAAGCGTAGGTCGAAAGTTTCATGCAACAAGGAATTTTTAGTTTATGTCACAAAACTCTTTAACATATCTTTCAATTTTGGAGATTGATAATTTTTGTGTATGGTTAAACAAAATTAGAACATTAGATGGCCTATACGAAACCTGTGTAAGGTTACCGAAAGTTTGAGAAGATATGTGAACGAAAGCGAGTAAACTGAAGTGATGGACTAAGTAAGCTGCTTACTGAGCAAAAGATGAAGGAACAGACGAAAATTCGAATAGAATCATTCCATTTAATTTTGTTTTTATCTTTTGAAAAAGTTCATTAATTGAGGATGTTCAATGCAAATAGGTTGACTTAATTGAGGTTGAGAAAACTGTAGATTTGAAATCTACAGAAAATCTTTCTAATTGTTTCGCCAGTTCCACGTTTGGTGTTCCGTAATGTTCAGTTTCATTTATTCGAAAGTTACAGAATATATCAGTGATCCAAGATAATGGATATTGATGCATTCCCAAAATATTGAATCCATCAAACTGTCATCTTTGTTAAATGTGTTGGACATACAATTATGTTTACCTACCATTATAGAACATGTGATATGGTTGTAATCATCTAGTAGCATAAGAAAGGAAACTAATCTTGCGCTGTGAACTAAACGAACAATGAACATAATCCTTTCAATCTACAGTTATTTCTTTACCAATGTTTAATTACAGTTTTTTATTTGAGGGTTTTTACAAACTGGTTGGTTGGTTGACCATCTTCTCACTTAACAATCCATCAACTCTTTCAACTTGGGATAGAATCCCAATAATCCCTCAATATCAATATGGGTATGTAAATTAGTCTGTTCTCTTATAATACTAGTCTTATTCAATCGTTTCAGGAAATCTGCATTATATCTTAATTGATAATGGGCATGCATTAGACATGAAATGTTAATTTCCACACATTGAGTGATGAATTCCTCATTGCAACGTAATTCTAGAACAGCATATTGAAGGGCAGTTTTGTCGTGGCGAACAGCTTCCAGGACTAGCTCTCTATCACTCCGTATTTCAAATGATCCATATTGTAATGGATTATATCGTTTTCCATCTGGTGTCAATTTCACATTTTGAACTGTATTCCACATAATTTCTCTATCCTTCAAGAAACAACAAGTGGCAACAAATTGAATTGAATCTCCATCATTTTTGACAGCTGCCAATACAACCTCTCTGTCAAGCTTGAATTGGGGTGGAACATGATTCAATACCATTCCATTTGTTGTAACGGATTCCAAAACAAAGTCACGATCATTTTGTAACTCTTCACTCGCATATAGGAAAGGAATTGAATCAGTTTTCATGGCTTTCAGTAGTATTTCCTTGTTGTGTTTGAATTCATTTTTAAATTCATCAGAAATGTAAACTATTGATTTTCCATTACTTTCCAATGCCTTCAATATAATATCCCTATCACTTCTCCATTTGAGTGGAAGTAATAATAAATCAAACTCTTTAGGGGAAATTTCCATGATAAATTCCTTATCAATCAAATCGTATGGTACATATCCAATATTGTTCATGCTATTATTAACGGCCTTGATAGCATGCTTTCTGTTTCTTTTTACAGAATCAGGAAAAAGAAGCAGTAAACTCTCATTTTCAATACTTTTCACAAATGTAGAATCATCAATTTTTTCCATCATTTCTTTCTGTGACGAAAGATGCTGTGTTAATTTTGTTGCTACAGCTTTTGTAAACAACTCCAAGTCATGCATCAAATGCTCTGAAGCAAATCCCAGAGAAGTAGGTTCTGAACTAATGGCCTTCTCTACAATTTCCCTATCACTTTTCAACTGTTCTGATGCATGTTTCAGTAAATATCCATTGAATGAGACAGCGTTCATGATAATTTCTCTATCTTGACACAGTTCTTTTGAAATAAACTCAATAATACAAGGACTAACCTTAGAAACCTTCAAAACGAAATCTCTATTACTTCTCAATCGCTCGCTTGCAAATGAGAAAAATTTATAACCAGAATTTGAACATGCAGCAGCCATAACAATCTCTTCATCATCTCTAAAATCGGAAGCAAACTCTAAATTATTAGATGATCGCTTACAAGCTTCATAAACAAGCTCTCTATCCAATATTTCTACAAAAATATGCTTTAGAGAACAATACATTCTAATGGCAATCAATGCTAGTTCTCTGTCACTACGTAGATATTTGGAAGCATATTGAAACTCATCACCATTTTGTTGAATAGATGTTAGTACTATCTCTCTATCGTTTTTAAAATCTTGGATAACATTACGAATAATACCTGAATTTTTCACGGATTCTAAAATGAGTTCTCTATCCTCTTTTAATTCATAACCTATAAAGGGATAAATATCTGAGCATGAATGCCTTATTGCTGTCATTATAATTTCTCTATTGTTTCTAAATTTCTCTGGTATGTATTTTATCATGGATCCATCTCGATTAATTATATCATCTATTAGCCCTCTATCACTCCTTAATTCTTCTGATAAAAACTCAAAATTTCCAGAATCATATAGTAAGGCCTTGGTTACCAACTCTCTTTCAGAACATAGCTCTTTGGAAGCCTTTTTCAACGCATCAGGATAAATTCTTACCGCTCTTATAATTAATTCTCTATCATTACTTAAACTCTCAGGAATTAGATCAAGAACTTTTTCATTGTGTGGCAGTAAATCCATTAATAATTTCCTATTGTTATAAATATCTTCACGTCCAACCTTTTCAAGGCAATCCGGATCTATTTCAATAAACTTCAAACAAAGATCGTTACCTATGTTTCCTTCCATTGTCATTGAAAAAAAATGACTATAATCTGTAAACTTTTGAATCAGCCTCATTCTGAAATCTTCATCTTGTGCCAAAGGATAGTTGCAATATCTGATATAAAGAAATACTTGATATGCTGATGATGCACAGTCGTAGATGAAATCAGGGTTATCTTTAAATCTATTTGATAAATTAGTAACGATGCTCAATTGTTTTTTGAGTGCTATTGAAACTATTTCATCATCCTCTCGGATGTTGATAGGTGCATATGATAATGAGTGTGGTGATGATTTTACAGCTTCTATGGCGATTTCTCTGTCCTGCTGGAGATTCATTGTTAAATAATTGTAGCAATTACCCTTCAATTTAACCATTTCGAGAACAAACTCTCTATCACATTTGAGTTCTGTAGATGCAAAATCAAAAGATAATCCTGAAGTTCTAACAGCTGATGATATAATCTCTCTATCATTTAACAACTCCAAAGGGGCATACTTAATTGCCAAATAATAAGTTTTCACAGAAATTAATACCAACTCTCTATCAATCAAATGTTGTGGTACGAATTTAATGGATGATCCCTTCTTTTTAACAGCATCCAAAACAACCCCCCTATCATTCTTCAATCGTGGTGATGCAAACTCAAGAGAATTAATATAGCTCTTCACCATCTTCCTTACAATCATCTCATCATCATGAAACTTGTCAAGAAATTTAAAAAAACTACATGGGCTATTATATGTTCTATCCCTTGCAATCATGATTATCCTCTCAACGAACTCTCTATTACTCCTCAATTCCTCGCTCACAAACTCTACAGCACTTGCATCAACTTTAACAGCTCTAAGAACAACTTTCTCATCATTTCTCAAATTTTCGGATGCAAACTCCAACAATGAACCATCCTTTTGCAGTGCACGAAAAAAAGCTAGCTTGCAATCATTGTCAGGAAATGGATTTTGTTCAATGTATTTCCTATTGAATATTGGATCATGTTTCAATTGTTCGATGTGTTTATATATTTGTTCGTTCTTTTCGATTCTTGTGGAAGAAACTTGTTGAAAATGGTTAAGTGCTAATAAATTACAATCGTGAGGATGATGATCGTAGGAAAACTTGTTGGTCAATTTATCAAAGGCTACAATCAGCAAATCAGTGAAGGATAATTGATGCATTTTTTTCAGGTTGGAAATTGAACATTTTGTAAACTGGAATAACAGTTTAGTAACAAACATTTAGAGTGTAACATGGAAGTTTATTGTTTCAAACATGCGTTGAAACCTTCATTTAATTCTTCATGATCCAAATATTTACCAATGAAAACAAGCTTGTTTGTTGTGTCATTATTCTTCCATTCACCAAAGAATCTCATATCTAAAAGACTGTGAACAGCTTGAACAACGAGAGGTTTTGCTTCTCCTACATTGAGGAATCCCTTAGTTCTATAAATGTCCAATCCTCGTTCAGTCAACAAGTCCAACAACCAATCCTCAAACTTTTCCTTATCAACAACACCAGGTTTGACAATGGCATATGAAGTGACCTCAGCATCATGATGGTCATGCTTGTGGTGGTGATCATGTTCTTCTTCATGTTGATGTTCATCCATTTCCTTCAACAAGTTTGGATCCATATTCAAAACTCTATCAATGTCAAATGCACGAATATTCAAAATAAAAGACAAGTCAATCTTGGAATGGCTAGTTTCACAAATTGGTGACAAACCATTAATCTTTCTAATCTTTTTCAGAACCTTCTTCTTGGTATCTTCATCAATGAGGTCAACTTTGTTTACAATAATTCTATCAGCAAAGGCAACTTGATCTTCAGCTTCATTTTCTTCCTCTTCTTCTTCTTCTTCCTCTTCGCCATGTTTCTTTTCATGATGATGGTGATGTAAATGTTGAATAATATGCTTGCTGTCAACCACTGTAACAATACCATCAAGATAATATTCATTTCTCACTTGTTCATCAAGATAGAAAGTTTGAACAATAGGACCCGGTAAAGCCAAACCAGTAGTTTCAATGCAAATATAATCAAACTTGTCCTTCTTTTGTGATAACTTGGTCAAGGCTCCGATCAAGTCTCCTCTCAATGTACAACACAAACATCCATTACTCAATTCAACAACTTCTTCCTTTGATGTAACAATAAGAGCATCATCAATCGATACTTCACCAAATTCATTTTCAATAATTGCAATTCTATATCCATGATTTTGAGAGAGAATATAATTCAATAATGTTGATTTACCTGCTCCCAAAAAACCAGTCAAGACTGTAACTGGAAGCTTCTTTGGTTTAGCTTGAGTAACAATAGGTTGTTGTGTAGCTGATTCCGATGATGATGTAGTTTGTTCTAGGTCGTTTGGTTTTTGCATCTTGTTGGCTGGTTCTTCAAGAGTTTGATGACTTGTATCGTTGTTGCTTCTTGTTGTTTGTTCTTCTTCTTCGTGTTGTCTCTTGGACATGAGAGCGACAAATTTTTATTTTTTAACCAATTATTTTCCAATCAAATTTGGAGAAGGGGCGTAATTGGTTTAAAAATAACAGCAGTGGGTATTTTAAACTGCTGGTTCAGTGGCTTTATTGATGAGGAGGCGGGCAAATATTGAATAATATTTTGAATTTTTATTATTTAATGCCTGTGTGGTTTGTCTTTTTTGAAGAGGTGCTTTTTGAAAGACAATTGCAGATGCCATACAAGATTTGTAATCATCCATTTTCAAAAGGGTTCCGAGTTCTATTGTAGAGAAGGTTATGAATCATTATTGAAAGCTCTCTTGCGTTCATTTCCGTTATTCTAAGATTTTTCATTGTTATTAATAGATCTCTTTAGATAAAAAATTTTTCTCTAAACAACTGCCATCCGCTACAACGCGCTGCTACTTTTCCCCAAACACATCTCTACACAGCAAACGTACACGATTTAATCTATCGGATACAATTATTGTGTTATTACCAACCACCCAACAACAACAACAAACTACAAAACCTCATCTATTTTATATATATAATTTTTAAAACCTCCTCCTACCAAATTATAACAATGATTTCCAACACCCAATTAAATACCTCTCAAAATATTCTTGATGATGAAGATTTCCTCTCTAACTATGCTGATGATTTCCTATTTGATGATATTACCACTTCTGACGATCAACAACAACAACAAACTAATGAACAACAAAACACCAACAATAAGAATCTTATTGTTGTTTTAAAACAAGCTAAAGGAAGAGATGACCAATTTGAATCAGTCTTTCCTCCATCCCTATTGTGCCATCCATACAAGTATGATTTAAAGGTCACTGGAGAATTAGAAAACAACCAACAAGCTAAATTAAATTTGAATCTTGTTGATGCTGAAACCCTAACTGTACCAAATGTTACTCTTCCAAATAAGAAGATTGTTGAAGGTGTTTCTGTTGAACAAATTGAAGAAGTTGGTCCTAATGAAAGAATTATCCGTTTCACTTTTAATTTGTGTTCTTTCCACTTTAAGAGAAGACCTTTCAAGTTAGAATTGACCCAAGTTATTGGAACCACTTCAAAGAGATTATTCTTGAGTAATTCATTCCAAACATTTGCCAGACGTAGAGAACATCACCAAAGTTTCAACAGTACCAAGACTTCCAACAGTGATAAACAACAAACTCAATCCAATGCTCCACTCACCCCAGATTCTAGTAGTAATAGTAGCAATAGTACATTGATGCAATCACCAAAGATGGAGAAGAAGGGTGTTAAACGTTCAATTTCATCTGTTTCTACAACTCATTATCCAATTAATAAGACTCGTAACGTTGCCCCTACTTCACCAAGCTCATCAATGGGATCTCCAACTATTCTCAATCCACACTTTGCTGCTCAATTCCCAATTGTTTATCCTGCAATGTATCATCCAGATATGAGTCAACAATTTGCTTTGCAATATGCTCCAAAGATGCAAATGCCACTCTTTGTTCCACCACAATGGGCTGCTTATCCAACTAATACAATGGTCTTTGGTTCTCCACACACTTCTCCAGTTTCCCCACCATCAAATGCTATTCCACAACAAGAAAAGTCAAACGATATTTTGGGTACTCTTATTACTGGAGATTGTTCTGACAAAAAGGCCTACATGAAGAAGGAACAAAAGATTATTCACCATACTCCACTTAATTTTGTTCACGCTATTCCAACAGCCCCTGTGATGGAAACATCTGAAAGAGCATCTATTGCAATTCAATTCCTTCAATCATTGACTCCTGTTGAAAGACAAACCGTCTCAATGTTCATGCATGGTTCTCAAGCTCTTTAACTTGTACAAAATCTAACTTTTCAAATATAATCATCACTCCCAACCATTGAGAGATTACTAACAGAAGAAAGAGAGGTGTCTTCTACAGTAATACCATCATTGTTTCCCTTCCCTTTATATATTTTTAATATTATCCATTTATTTATATTTATATATTTGGGATATCTATGAATGGACTCTTCTGGTTGCTCCTTCCAATCATTTTATTTTCCTCAATACAAGTCTCCTTCTCCCCTTTGTTGAGAAATGAGAGACATGTTAATGAGTAGAGAATTTAATGAAGATGAGAGTTCAACCAAAATTGAGACCTTCATAGTGATTCCCTCCTTTTATATACCATTTAAAGCAGTAGTTGTTAGTAGCAAAGAGAATGAACCAATAAAAGATTTAGTATTGGCTTTGTTTAATCATTATTTAACTGTTCATCTTTTTGATCCTCCATCGTATCACTCGTCAGTGCTTTTAAGTGATACGCCACAATTCATCAACAGAATTTGTTCTGACATTTGAATTTACAGCAATAAAAAAAATGTCAACCAACAATCAGAGAAATAGTAGTGGCAGTTTCTCATTGTTTCCTTCATCATCGGCTACAGTGGTGGTGGTGATTGCAAGCATTTTACTCTTCTTCCAATGTTTTACAATTCTTGGTCAACAAGCTAAACCTGATGGATCAAAATTGAAACTCTTCACCTCCTATCACACTGCTTCTCTCGGAGCTGGAGCTCTCTTATACAAAGTAATTATCAAACATTATATGTTTTAATTTAATAATGACTGTCAAATTATTTGATGATTTTTGACGAATTTGTGATGGAATTTGATGATTCATTGAAATAATAGCAATTTTCATCTGGAGTTTATTTAACATATGAAGCAGAATGTTCAACTAGACCTTGTGATGTTCTCTTGATCAAGTCAACTGAAGAATTCTATCAATGGAGAAGTAATTATTACAATGAAACATTTACTGTTCCTGGACATATCAATTATGCAACAAGTTATGTGGCCAAGGAAAATTATCCAACTACAACCAATGTTGTTTTGGTGGTATGTTTAATTTCTTTACAATATTCTTTACAAAATTTTACAAAAATTGTGAAATTAGATTGCCAATCCAAAGAATGCTTCTTCCAAATCAGATATTTGGTACAATTACAAAACAGCTGATATTCCAGGATCTAATGGAGGAATGATTGCTGCCATTATCGTTGGTGTTTTGGGAGCTTTATGTTTGTGTTTGTGCTGTGTTGGTGTCTTGTTATGGTTGTGCAGATTGAGAGCCAATCCAAAGGATTACATTCCACAACAAGATTTACCAAGAGAATTTTAAGATTTTCTTGGAATTTGTGATTTTATTAAATTTCAATTTGTTTGTAATTGATTATAGAATAGATTATTAGTGATTTTGAGGAGATTGGAATGAGATTGACGACTCTTAGTATTGGATTTTTACAGTTAGTTGATTGGAAATATTGAGAATTTAAATTATTGGAAAATTGAGGAATAGATTTCGAATAGATATTGAAATAATGTTCGACAATTTGGAAATTGTGAGCAATATCAACTATCGATATTGAATATTTATTTCAATTTAATGACAATTCTTTTTACGAATTTCTTTCAAAATTTTGATCAAATTGTTCAACTTTTTGATTGCGTCATGATGTTTGGAATGTTTACAATATTTCAAGACCTTTCTAATATATCTTCTCAAACTCTTCAATTTCTTAATCTTCAATTTGATTGATTTCTTTAAAATCTTTTCGAGTTTCTTCTTTAACTTTGCATCTTTACAATTTCCAATTTTGGCAACTAATTTGTAAATGTGTTTACATTTGCTTCCCTTCTTAAACTTTGAATTGAATTTCTTGACTGCACCTCCATGTGATGAACGATTTTTCTTGATGGACATGACTTGAGCTTGAAGAGTTTGTGCTTGACCGTTGACATTTGCAATGAAATAAATGCCAGCCATCAAGACTAGCAAAAACAAGAGAAGTGATTGTTTCATTTTGTTTTGTTTTGATTATTGGAGAATTATTTGCAAAGAAGGAATTTAAAATACAAGATTTCGTCGACGAACAGTTTCTTCTCAACTGTCTTGCTATTAAAGTTGGTGTTTCAAATATCAATCTGCAATTGATCTTTGGTTGAAAGAAATTTGGAATCTGAAATGGATTACACGAACGAATGGAGAATTTACATCAAGAAGCAATAGTTTGGAAATACGAAACTATTTCAGAAAGTTACCTAAAGAATTCTTTCAATACAATTAAACAATGCCCAAACAATCAAGTGCATTCGAATCTCGTAAATATTAATAAAAGGGGTACATTTTGGACGTTTTCCATTATTCGAAGTACTTTACTAAAAAAATGTCAAAACACTTTAGTGACCTTCCTAGAGAGATTATGTTGGAAATTTTCACATTTTTATCATTACCTCATCTCGGAACACTTTTATCTCTCAACAGATCAATTCATGATGAATTGGAAAATTCGTCTAATTTTTGGAGAAAGTTGTGGAATGGTTATTCGAAAGGCGTGGAACATTATTCCATTCCACTTGATCTTTCCGATTCAATGAAGAAACAATTCGTGGTGCTCATCTCACATAAAAAACAAGACATTATTTTCATTAAAAATTCTATTCGAAGGTTGAGAAGAGACCTCGATGATTGTGAAGTAATGATAGAAATTGGATTTTCAGATCCGAATGATGAGATGATTGATAGTTATCGTGAGAAGGCAAAGGAAATTAAGAATGAAATAGATGAATGTCAAGCAAAATTAGAAATATTGAAAACTGACTCGGATAATTTTGGAAATTAAAATTCTAATTTAGGAATGAATCAGGAAAATTAAATATTAATGCAATTATTGCATAATGATTTGTAGTTTTTGAAATTTTTACAAGAAATTCTGACTCTTTGAACACTAGATTCCTCCATTTCATTATTAGATACTCAGAATTCCAATTTAAATTCAACCAAAAACTCATTAAGCAGCAACAACATTCCATAATCTAAACAATCAAATTATCGTATTCCAATTAAATAAGTTGTTTCATTTCCTGATCTCAGAGTTAGAATGATTTTCTATGTGGTCTGATATCAAACGAAACCAAAAAAAACAACAAATTAAAATCATCTACTGCATGGATTGAAAGAAAAAAGAAGAAAATACTTTGTTCACATTCTAAATTACAATTTTGATCAGTAAAATATCATTTTCCTTTCACAATTCGTCTGTCATTTGCCAAGAGCTCCAAATTTCAAAAAGCAAAAAAAAAATGTCACTTGGCAACCAGCAAGATATTATCATTGTAGGAGGAGGTCCAGTTGGTCTGTGGACAGCCAGTCAAATCAAATTATTAAATCCACAATTAAATATTCTAATTTTGGAAAAACATGAAAATTACAAAAGAAGTCATTTCGCATTCTTGGAAGCAAATTCATTTGAATTGATGGCTGAGCATCCAAATTTGATGGATTTAAAGAATAGGTTGCAATCGGATAAGAAAATCAAGACAAGTGAATTGGAAGAAACTTTATTCGAATTGTGTAATCAACTTGGTGTGCAAATAATTAAAGGATTTCCGGTTGAGTGTGGTAAAGAAATTGAAGCAAATTTTCCTGGAGTTCAATTAATTATTGGTGCAGATGGTGCTCACAGTACTATTCGAAAGACAGTTTGTTCTGGGTTATTAGAAAGTGAAATTTTTAAATATTCGAATCATTTTCACACTCTCATGGAGGTGAAATATCAAGCTATTGGCGAAACTAAACCAATGGATATGATCAATATCGGCTATCCACTCATGAAACACATTGGAGTAGTTGTGAATGAAATTATTGGAAAGCAAAACGAAAGTGGAAATAGTCCAATAACTTTACAATTTTTTGTGAATGAAAATATTGGAGAATCAATCAAGAATGCAACATTTAAGAATCCAATTCAATTCCACTCCATGAAAGAAACTCTTCCAAATCAAATTCGAGCAATAATTGAATTTTGGTTGGCAGCTCGTTTCCAATATTATGCAGAGAAACATGTCGAAAGTTCTGTAACTATTACAAGCACCAAATTGGGATCTTATGCAAGTAGATATTATGTGAGAAATTTTGGAACGAAAGCAATTTATTGTTTGGTTGGAGATGCTGCTTTTGGAATGCCTTTTTTTAGAAGTTTAAATAATGGACTATTGTGCGCAACTATTCTAGCTCAATGTGTTGTGAAACATTTTGAGGGAAAAGATTATCAATTTGCATTCTCTTTGGAAGGTGTTGTGAATTCTCTTGTTGGTGGAACGAAACAATTTCTTGGACTTTCGAATATTCCATACGAAGGTGAACATATTTCTCAACCTCTAATCAAATATGCAAGTTATGCAATGAATTTGGAAGAATCACAATTGAAAATAGCAAGAGCAAAAAGTATTGGATTGAAAACTTTCCAAACTTGGACCAAAATTAGTGCAATTGTTCCTTGGCAAGTGAATAAGCTCAGACCAGAACAATTGGAGGAAGTTAGGACAGCCATTGGAATATTTAGTAGTGAGGATGATAGAGAAATGTATGATGATATTGTGGAAGATGGATTTGTTCTTGTGGAAAAATTGTAAATTTGATCAATTTTAAAATTCACAATAAAAAAATGAAAAAAAGTCAACCAGCATCAATAGCCGAAACTCTCGCAAATCGTCAAGAGGAAATTCTTTTGAAACTTAAACTGACCAACAAGAGAACACTCGACACTTCACAGAAATCAATTCTTCAACCTGGTGAATGGATCAAGGCAATTCCCTTTCCTCCAAGTAAAAGTTGGATGCGACATTTAACAGAGGATTTATTTGTTGGAGGTGATGGTAATGAGTCGGTGATTTTCCGATTGGATATCGATGGCTTGATAGACAAGGAGAAATCTCTAGGATACTGTGATAATGTTGTTGAGGTTGTTAGTGAGCTGAAAGGAAGTTTTTATTCTCTGATTTCGGATTATTACCTTGTAACGTCCCGTGCAAATAAGGATGGGAAACGAGAGGATCATTATGTGTATGATTGGAGAAGTGGGAGGATGGTTTTTAATTTGATTGGATTTCCTGCAGGTAGAATTCTTTCGTTTGTTGCAATTTATAAGAATGGCTATTGTGTGGCGATGAGTTCAGATCAAACAGATGGTGGTAATTGTAAAATACACTTGATTAACATGATGGAAAAGAAGAAGGAAAGGATTTATATTCAATACTCAATCAAACATTCAGCTAGGGAAGGCTTTATGTGTCTAACAACTTTTGAAGCTACTGGAAATAGAATAGTTATGATACTATCAGAAAAACCACATGTTTTCAAATGGGATTTGAAGGCAGGAAAATTGAGGGAGGAATATGTGATTGAGGATCTTCCTTTTTGTTTTACAGGATGTATGATTGATAAGGATATTGCTGTGTTTCAAGGCAGCAACACTTTAGTTTACAATTTAGAAACAAAACAATTACTGAAAAATATTCCAAATGTTGTACGTACTGATATTCAACATGTTGGATTGGATTCATTATGGTTAGTTAGATCTAATTTTTTAAATTATAAAAGTGGAGAAATAGTAGAGATGCCCTATAAGAGTGCAGACTATAGCTCACTTTTCCAATACAAAGATAAACTATTGGTATTAGGTCATAAGAAATTCGGTGTTGTTACTGAAGTGACTAAGGTTCTTAAAGAAGTTCACTCCATACAGGAGTTCAATAAGAAGGCACTTGCCATATTTTCAGATATTAGAGTAATAAATCAAAATTGAAATAGTTATTGTGGCAAGATAGATTTCTTCTTTGTAAAAACAAGGGTAGAAGTTGGATTTTTGTGATCAAGTAACAATTAGATCTCTCGGCAATTTTCTTCTTTCAATGTAGAATTCAATTAATATCTTCTTGGATTCTTGGATTTTTTAAAGTACTTTTTAACATGATTTCTGGAGATCAAGTCGGCTTGGTAAATTGGTTCAGGAATACTCTTCAAAGAGCAACGTTTAACAATGCTAACTGCTGTATCCAAACAAACCCTATGCCCTGGACTAATATATACATTTGTGATATTATCTGTTTTCAAGATACATCCAATTCTCTTCTCTGAATCAATATCTATATCAATACATTCTCCCTTCCTGGTCAATTGTTGCTCCAACCCATCAATATATTCATCGGTCAATCCCTTTACCATTAAAATCTTCTTTGCTACTCCAATTGTTGGAATATTCTCGACCACTCCTAGGTGACATGCAGATCCGAAACCTCTTTGGTGCAAATGGCCATTACCATCAACGAGAATAACTTGTGGCATCATGTGTGGAACCTTGTTTCTTACATTCTCTATTAATCGTTGAATATGTGGAACTTCTCTAAAAGCTAAATATCCAGCAATGTAAGGCAATGTCATTTCAACTTGTTCGCTTTCTTCGTGAACTATTTTCAAATCAGGAAATGAAAGAACAATCAAAGTAGCAATAGCTCTATTACTATTCCCATTTTCAAAACTAATATCTACTCCTCCAATTAATTTCAATGTCTTGTCTAGATTCTTTGGATCAAAGGTCAAGTTGTGATCACGTAAAATCATTTGCCTCTTCAAGTTGTATTGTTCTGTTTTCCAGCCACTGTAGTCAAAGCCATTATTGTGATTGCTTTTACCATCATTGCTGGCTCTCATTTTGTTGCTACTGGATGAAACTGAACTGGTAGATGATGAATTGGACTCGTGTGACACTTTTTGTCCCATAAAGTTTCTCTTTTTAACTGTGTCAATTGACTCGGTTGATGGAGTTGTCTTTGAGGATTGATTGGAACTAACAACTGATGACGATTTTGCCAAAGGTTTCTTATTAACATTGCTACTTTGATTTGATGATGAATTTGCTTGCACGGATTTAAACGAATATTTGCTACTTCCATTATTATTATTAATATTATTATTAGGAGAAGTATTATTTGATGGTGCTGATGAAGTAGAATTGCCATTGGCAACGATAGAAACCCAAGAAGACATTTTTTTAAAGTTTGAACTCGAAGGAAATTACTTCCGATTTCTTTCCTTTCATCACTTGTAAATGTGAATAGTACTAATAAAAATTGTAATTAAATAATATCATAGTATTCCTTGGCTTAAACTCATCATAGTGATAAGTCGTGAAAGAAGGGTTGAATTGGAATCCAATATAAGCGGACTATTACTCATACTCCTCAAACGGACAATAAGGATGCTCTATTATTCTACTGCAAGTAAGTCTTAGCCAGCAGCAATATTGAGGTGATGATCATTTGGTATTTTTTTCAGCAAGAAAAGAGCAGAACGTTATCGTGCGCATCAAAGAAAAACAGAGTTTCAACTTTTTGATAGTGAGAAGCGATTCATCTTCTTGATTATCATTGCGTTTTTCTAATTTGTTAGGGTCGCATTGTGAGACTTTGTGTGATTTTTATATATACAAAATTTAATATATATTATTATTATTTATTTAAATACATATTTTACGTAGTAGAATAGTGGAAATAATTATTATTATTATTGGTAGCAGTAGGAATTGTATTATTAATTTATTAAAACATGTTGACTGAAAATAATAATTATCAATCATCGGCAGCAGTTAGTTCTTCCTCTTCATCATCAAAGAGACATCAACATCATGATGATGACGACAATGATTATGATGATAAATTTAAAAAGTTTTCTGATCCGACAGAGGCTGCCAAACACACTTTCAGATCACTTGATCGAGTTCCAGGATCATCATTCACAATCAGATCTAATAACAATAATACCACTTCTGATAATAATAACAATGAAAATAATCCAATTGATAGTGGCTTTGGACAGAATCAAAGGAAATTCCCAGAAAAACCATCAGCACACAGAACACCACTACAACAAGTGGGTGACTTTTTCAATAGTTTGATATTCAGTTTACTCTATGTTACTGCTGACACAAAGAAGAGATTTTATAGTTTCCTTGTTGGTCTGATTACTATTGCTATTGTTGTGTTTGTTGTCAGTATATTGTACAATTCAATTCTGAAAGCAAATTTAATCTTCTTGAAATTATCTGAGGACAATGTTGGAGATGCTGATATAATGTTTACACCAAAATTCACAAATTTAACAACTATACCTTTTATTAACAATACCGAGATTAGTGAAAAATTAGCTAATAGTCCTTATATTACTGGCACAACCCCTCGTTGGATTATATTTGCCAATCTACAGAATAGAGATCAACCTCAAAAGAATATTAGTGGACTTCTCTTGATTTTGGATACTGAGAGAGAAGAACAATTGGGAATTGGTAGAATATGGCCATACAGACCTCTTGGAGAAGGAGAAATTCATGTGAGAGATTCTATATTGCGAGCCATTGATGTGAAGCCAAATAGAGGGCAGAGAACTAATCTTGTAATTGATTTTGCCAGTTTGGCCAGTGCATTCTCTGGAAGTACTGAAGCCATACAGAATGGTGTGGATCCAACTCAACAAAATTTCGATCAAGCTCAATTATTGAGATCTCTTTTCATTTAAACTTAAAAGTGAAGGGTGAATCTTCTGTTGTTGATTCTATCACCTCCAATTATGCCAAATATCCAAGTGCTCTTGGTAACGTAATGATTATTGACAGTCACTATGTAGGTCAAATAATTGAAGAGTCACTATTTGCCTCGCCCTCTACGCAGTTACTTTTGGAAATTACAGGAAATACTCAAAAAATCAAAAACTTTTTCAAAACTTTCCCAATAGAACAGTACAGTTTAACTCTAGCAGGTCGACTGAAAGACAGATTCCCAACCTATCTCAAGAGTGATAATGAAAGAAAACAAGCAGTTATTGGCATTACCAATGGTATGATGGATAGTATTGGAGTTGCTTATCCAGTCACTTACACTCTTCCACTTTTGAGTGCTTTAGATGGTACCAAATTTATTTCATTATTTATTGATCAAATCTTTATTGGAGTTGTTGTCATGTTAGCCATTTTGGGTATCATTTTGATTTTTGCCCTCCTTTTGGCCAATGTTGAGGAGAAAACCTATGAATATGGTATGTTGAGAGCCCTAGGTCTTCGTCAGTATTCTCTTATTCAGGTCATTTTGGCTCAATCCATGTACTTTGCCATACCTGCCATCATTATTGCCATGGTACTTGCCTTCTTGGTAAATATTTTGGTTGAGTATGTATTACAAGTTGTTATCAGCACTCCAAGCTTGAATTTGTACTTCTTCTGGGCTGCAGTTGTAGTTCCAATTGCTCTTGGTTTTGGTATTCCTATTATTGCTAACGTTATTCCAATTAGACATGCTATGAGCAGAACTTTGAGAGATTCACTTGACATTGCCCATCAAACTTTCAATGAAACCACTGTCAAAATGATCAAACTTGAAGAATTAGGATTGGAACCATGGCAAACTGGTGTATCTATTTTATTGGTTATTATTGGTTTTGTAGTTTACTATATGATTCCATATTCATTTATTTTCACTGATCTCCCACTCTTCTTCTTTATTTTGAATGCTATTCTATTGGGTATGCTTGTTGGATTGTGTATTATTGCTGTCGTATTAGAACCATTCTTTGAGAAGATTATATTGAATTTAATCTTGTGTGGACCTGAAAGAAAATTGAAGACTTTAATTTCCAAGAATTTGGCTGGTCACCGTAAACGTAGTAGAAAGACCTTCCTCATGTTTACACTCTCAGTTGCCTTTATTGTTTTTGCTGGTGTTGTCTTTTCATTGCAATCAGCTAATATTCGTGCAAATGTTGAGGCTTTCCTTGGTGCAGATATTGTTGTCATTTCAACCAATTCACGTTATTCACTTCCTAAAGACAAACTCAATGAAGCTATTGCACTCCAAAACAGTAGAAACAAAACGATAGAAGCACCAGTTAAGGGACATGCCTACCAATCATTCAGTATTGCTAATATTCCGTTCTTTACTGGTTCTAGATTCTCCTCACTTGCCTATTTCCCTAACAGAAGAGTTGTTTATAATGCAGTGGACAGAAACTTTTTGAGTGTTGTCAAGAGCAAGTACTTCCTCTACACATACATTGATTCAAGTTTCACGTACAATATCACAGATGAGAAACCAGATGTTTTCCAAAGTTTGTACGATAATGCAGGACAAGCTCTTGTTGATGGAGAAAAGGTTGGATTCGCACCAAGTATTGTATACAGTGGTGTAAAACTCAATTTCGAAGACAATTATACCTTAACCTTTGATCCAGCCTCTCAATACTCACAATACATTGATATTGTAGCTTCTGAAGCTATGAGACCATCTGTTGGTATTGGAATTAAGACTCCAACCGATTTGAGATTCTCTGGCATCAATAGTAAGACAGGAACTCAAAATTATGTAGATTTTATTGGCAAGTCAAGATGCCTTGCCTATAAGGTCCCTGGTTTCTTCTATTCTTCATATGAACTTACTGCTTCTGGTTCTCCTGTTATTATTACTATGGATGCATACAAGAAAATTGCAAGATCAGTCGCTAAATCAGTTGGTCTCACTACTTATAATGATGAAGTTTACTATCAAAAGCTCTTTATCAAGCTCAAAGATGAAATTACAACCTTTGAAGTACAAGACGTTTTCAATGCCTTACAAGCTTCTGTTAGTTCTGATTTCACAAGTATTCAAAATGTCAGAGATTTGGTTGGTAGTACAGAGACTGCTACACTTGTCCTTATGGCTTTCTTCAACATTGTTGCTGCTATTGCCATCATTTTGTGCTTCTTCATGTTGGCTGTTTCATTCACTGCTAACGTTAGAGATAACTCTTGGGAATTTGGTGTGTTGAGATCTATTGGTTTGTCTGTCAATGCACTCATTCGTGCCTATATTTATGAAGCTCTTTGCTTGGTCATTTCGGCCTTTATTTCTGGTACTGTGATTGGTTGTGTAATTGCCTTGACATTAACAGCTCAGTTCAACTTGTTCTTGGAGATGCCGTTCCAATTCGATTTCCCATACTACCTCTTCTTCTCTATTCTTATCATGGCTCTCATTTGTGCCATTCTGGGTAGTTACTTGCCTGCTAGAAATTTGAGAAAGAAGGAAATTGCTCTCGTCATTCGTGGAGCTGAATAAATCAATCTTCATAAAAGGTACTATATGTATTGTCCAAAAGATCATTCCCCTTAATTATCGAAAAACATTGGTTCGACAAATTAACACAATCCAACATGGGAAAAATTGCATTCTCATATCTACATACAACCTTGCACAAACAAGATAACCATTTAGGAAATCCCATATCTCTTGCCTCTTGATAAACATCAGTATCCTTATCTGCAGAATAACAACAGCAACAAGTTCCACACCAACACAACGCTATTAGGCAACCATTGCAAAGACCACACAATCTAGATGTACAACATATTTTTGAGTAGCACTTGTCAACAGATCCAGATACAGTCCAAATTTTCAGCTTTACACATTTTTTTTCAATAGCTTGTGACACTTTCATACTAGGAATTGTTGGAAAGTAATAGTGGTGAGAAATGATTACAGATTTTTCTCTCTTGAAGATAATCCTCTCAAATTGAATTTCAATCTTATCTTCACTGGTAGAGGTGGAGAATGTTTCATTCTTCTTTTCAATGTTACATTGTTCTTTTAGCATTTCTTTTGCATAATCACTCATTTCTAGTCCAGAATTGTAAATGTGTCTAAAGAATAGTTCTAAGAGTTTGATTCTTTGGCTATTATTTAAGGTTTCAAGGGAGACCAATGTGAGAAATTCAGGAAGAATATGAGCCTTAACATTCATGCCAAAGTGGTTATCTTTGAATGACAACTCTGCACTTGTCAAGCCTTGTTGAGGATGATTTCTCAAAACAATAGGTTTGGTCATATTCTTGATAAATCTTTCCATAATAAAATGATATTTCCTCTCTTGGTTTTGGATTTAAAAACACATAATGACGTCTGTTTTCTGTGCAAACAATGGAAGTTTCACAGCTAATTTTATCTTTGATAGAGTGATGTAAAGCATAATGTTTAAACTGAAAGTGTAGAATGGTCTTTCGACAAAGTCGAAACGGATTCATTTTCATATTCTTATCAATGAGCGGTTTTTGCATCCACTCTCCATACAGATCCCTCAACCCTATGTGATTCGATACATCTGCTAATAGTTCTTTCCCCTTATTATAATAAAATAATTTGGGAGATGTTGTTGCCAGCTCACTATTCAAAGGTTGACAGTCATCAATCGATTTTCCTGACATTATACTTTCCAAATCATCTAACAGATTGTTATCATTAAAATTAAACTCGTACTCTATTTCATCCTCAGATAGTCTTCTGCATTGGCTGCCCAAAATTTTTTCCATTATTTCTATAAAACTGTTGGTACTCGTTTCAATATTTTCAGAATTATTTCTATTCTCTTTACCTGGAATGAATATTTGAAAATAAAGCCTAGGTAAGTAAACACTCTCAATTCTTTCCAACAACTTTTGACTTCTTATTGCTTCCTTAACTGATGCAGCAATTGATTCTTCTTTCGTTTGAATTCCAATGCTCAAAGATGATGATGACAATGAGGAATTTCCTCTAAATACATTATTAAATAATCGGCATGTTATTCTTAATGATTGAATTTCATAGGAGCCTCTATTAGGACAATAGGAAAGAATTGAATCGAGTGAATCATGATCCAACTCTATAATATTACATCTTTTCATTGTGTATACACGATTATCATCCGAAAAAGATTGATACAGAGGAAGATCGTGATTATGTCTACTATTCTCTATAATTGTTGTTACTATCAGCTTATTTTCTTCATCTTCATCAAAAGGAAGAATGGGAAGAATTCTATTCTCGGGACATGAAATCATTTTTTTCTAAAAAGATTTAAATGTCTCCTATAAATTTTTTGTAAAGCAACATAAATATTTAATAAATCTCCTACCCTTTCAATATCAAAGAGAGGCGCTCTTATTTTCGCCGTCGTTCAAAATTAAAAAGCTTTCGCCTGTTTTTTTTGACCTTAAAAAGACTATAAATAGCCTCAATAGAACCTCTCTGCTTCTCAATAATCAATTAAGAAAAAAACAAACAATGTGTTACGAAACAACTTGTAATAAGTGTGGAAAGAAGACCTGGGGCGGTGAGTTATCAAGATAGACTAGATAATATTGATGATTTTGATATGTAATTTAATATTAGGATGTGGAATGCACAAGGAAGCTGTATGTTTATTTAAATTAAATTTTCTTATATATGCTATTAATATTTTTGTAATTGCTGATTATTTTCGGAATAGGTCATGAGAAATATTAAGCCAGAAGACAAATGTACCTGCCCAAGAAATTAACATCTATAGAAGAAAAGAGAACAATTAAACCCAAATAAAACACTTAAAATTAAAAGAAATACTTCCAACATGCAAGGTTCACCATCATCATCATTTCATCCTTAGGAAAATTCATAAGAACTCTTTATTGTAAAGTGTAATTGAGAAGTAGTATCAATTTACATATTTGAATACTATTACTTCTCAATAGTTGCGGAAAATAAAATTCATAAAAAAAAATGTATCCACATCATCAACCACCACCACATCATCGTGATGAAGATCCTAGAATGATGATGAATTTTGGAGGTAAACCTTCCTCTTCCTCTTCAGGATCATTGGAAGAAAAAACACAATTTATGAAACAAACTGTATTGATGGAATGGCATGATGTGTGTATGTTGATTGGAGTGCATGATAGAACCAATATTGAAAAGTGGTGGCTGATTATTCAACAAGCCTATGATGGAACTGGAGTTTATGATCATGAGGAAGTAAAGAAGAATTTGGAAAATTCGGAAGAGGTGAAACATGACAGATTCTATCATACAACCATGCACTTGTTTCACTTGTTGATTCAATTTAGAGATTTGTGTCAACAGGATAAGTGGATGAGTGTTAGTAGATCCGATTCTGCTGTGGTGAGGTTGGCTATTTTCTTCCACGATATTGTCTATGATGTGAAGAGAAAAGACAATGAATCAAGAAGTGCCAAATTATTTGCAGAAGCTTTTATTAATGATGTTAAACCAAGAAGTTTGAGTGAGGGGGAGATTAAAAGAGTGGTGTTTTTCATTGAATGTACAGCAAGTCACTTGTCACATCAAGACAAGGACGACAAGATGTTAAAATACTTTTTAGATTTTGATTTGGCTGTATTGGCCTATAATACACCAAAGGAGGACGATCAATACTTTAAAGATTTCTTTATTCAGTGGAATAACAAGGAAGAATTGTTACAAAGTCACTATGTCAAGAGTTATGTAGATAATGTCAGAAAGGAATATTCTTGTTATAGTGATGAAGAGTTTGCTAAGGGAAGATCTGGATTTTTGAAGAAAATGCTTTCATATGAACACATTTTCTATTCACCAGCATTGAGAGAACGTTACGAAAAGCAAGCTATGGAAAATATGAAATGGGAATTGACTCTTTATGAATAATTTGTATATATATTATATTATTTGTTAGATTACTTGTAATATTAATGTAATTAATTTATTTCGATATTTATTAGCTATTTATTATTAATAATATGAAAATTTAGAATTATTTCAATATAATTATTTATTAAATATTATTATTTCTTTGAAGTTTGATTCGTGGTGGTTGTTGGTGAAACAGAAATTCCCCTCTTTTGTTGAGATTTCTTTGTGCCAATGTCTTTAATCTTTTTAATTCTCATCTCTTTCAAGAATTCCATCGATTGCTTGAATCTCATGTGAGTATCTAACATGACAATGGAAATTTCCTTCTCCAAGTAATCGAACAAGTCTTCAGATAAGGAATGAATTTGATGATTGGAATAAGCATCCAGTTCCATCTTGACCGATTCAATAGAGCTAGTGTTGACATTCACAGCTTTAGCACCAGTGACATCAAGGAAGGTTAAGTAAATCTCAGAGGCCAATTGGGACTTTTTAACTTCAATAGTATCCAATTCATTTTCCATTTCTGAAATTGTCTTTGGTGGTCCAGTTTTCTTCTTCTTTTCAGAGCTTGTTGTCTTGTCATTGCTTGACTTACTTCTGGAGCTTTGTTCGTTCATTTCAATGTTGGAATTGCTGTGATTCTCTGAACCATGAGCACCAGACAATGAGGAAGGAACCGATGAGTTGGTAATTGAGGAGGCAGAACTTTCACCATCACTGAGCATTTGAACAAGTTCAATTTGATGCTCACACATTCTTCTATAAATTTGTACATGTTCCAAGAATTCAAAATTCTCACTATTGAACTCCTTCTTACAATGCTTTTGAAACAAAATTCTGAGCTTGTCATTATTCATCACATCCATCAACTCCATAGCTTGAGCTCGTTTCAAATTACGATTATTGATAGCATCCTTCTTAATGGCAAATCCAAACACGAAGAGAATAATAGGCAATGTCACCACAACTGCCACAGAAATAATCACCAACGAAGTAGTGGAAGCAACAAAGGCCAAGTAATTATTTCTCGTCTGTGTATCAGTCACATAGGTCATCAACTTGTCTTGCTCAACTCTGAAAACATCTCTTGCATTGGTAAATTCGAAACTCTTGTACAATTCAATTGCTTTGGCGAAATTTCCATTTTCCATCATAACTGCAGCATTGGAATTGTATTCTTTCATCTTGGCATACATGATTGCACCATTATTAATATATTCATTTCTGACATTTTGGTCTGATATCTGACTCAATAGATTACTTGTCAAGGAATCCACTTGATTCGTATACTTGTAATAATAAGAAAGGTAGGAAGTATTCTGTGAATAGGCAGCTACCATCGAATAGGCATTAATCCAAGCAGCATACAAGTAGATATTTCCTCTCAATGCCAAAACATCCACATTGGTTGAAGTTTGAGCTTGCTGATTGAAAATGATTAGTCCCAAAAGTATCAGAAAGGTCAGAGTATTCACAATCATTGCAATAATCGCAAAAATTCTCACCCAACTCAAATCTAACAATCCAATATTACAACATGATAAATCCATGCGAAGTGCACCCTTGGAAACGGAGATTTTCTTGACTGTTTTGGAAGAACTTGAACTGGTTGAACTTTTGTTATCTTCATGTGCTTTATCGTGGTGTGTATGATGATGTTGATGATGAGAATTTGAGAAGGTTGTTGATTTTTTCTTATTGGAATCGGTTGCTGGAGTTGGACTGGTTGAATTCGAATAGTTTTCATGAGGAATGGCAATGGTAAGAGTGTTAACTTCTGGGAGACTATTTGGTGTTATGGCTGCTGTGGTGGAGTATTGACTTGTTGGAAGGGTTGCAATGTCTAAAGAAGACGAAAGTTGTACAGTGTGTCCTTTCTCCATTCTAATTGTTTCGAATAAAAGTTTGTATGTGAAAAAGTTGAGTTGTGTTGTATGTTAATAGTCTATGTAAACGAATGCAGTTGAGCCTACGAGTATCGTTTTATGTTTTTTTTGAATATTTGCTTTGTGTTTACACTTCTCTGTGTTTCAACTAATTTCGTCTAGTTTAATTAGGCAATTAGAGCAGGTTGACCAATCCATAAAAGTAATATTTAACGACAAAGCACAATTTGTAATAAATGTTGTAGGGCTTCCGAAATATAATTGTACATACAAAACTGCATTAGGTTTCGAATAATCAAAATAAATTATTAGAAATGGTTCCGCGTACTTAGATACGCTTGGATACTCTCTTGTTTTGCCCAAATTTAAACTAATTCAAAACATTGTAACAATCCTATCTTCAAATACTATTATCAAGTATTGGTATTCGTATAGTTTCCGATAAAAATCAAAGACTATTCTAATTGATTGAATTCACAGTTTCATGGTAAATTTTATTGTAAATTTATTAGAAGATTCAGTTACATTATTTAATAAATGAATAGTTTAAGGAAATTAATGATTTCCAAATATGTTTCGAATATTTGGCAGATTGAAATTGAACAACGAACCACATGTGAAATTTACTTTATTTTGGATGTGAAATTAAACACATTGCAAATTGGTTGTCATGACTTCCATTTTCAGATGTTTGGCCCAAATAAAAACCTTCATGAATAACTTTCCTAATACATTCGTGCATCCCATTCATGGAATTCCACTCATTGTATTTCTCATAATATCAGGTTTTGAAAGTTCTATCAATGTGAACGCAAGCTATTCGAAAGAATAAATACAAGTTTCTCTACTGAGATCTTCTGTTAAAAGTTTATCTAAACTACCTCCCTCATAAAATTTCATTAATGTGTTCCGTTTCCATGGAATTCATTGAAAGGTCAGTATGGTTTTATTTTCATTATTTTGAAATTTTAAAGACCACGAAGAAAGCAAAACTTTTCAACTTCTTTAAAGAAACTTCCAATATTTGAATGAGAATAAGCAAATAGAGTTGTTTTGAGCTGTGCCTTTTCAAACTTGTTTTCTTTGTGTTCAATTTTCTTTCTATTCAACAAGCCAACTCCCCAACACTCCACCAGAATAATTTCATCACCTTCCCTTCTCAAATTATATTGACTCATAGTAACATGACTCATTATAGTTCCAAAGACCCACTTATCCAAATCAGCCAAATCTATAGTCGGATAACTTTCCTGATGACCTTGAAAATTGGTACAGGTAATTTTGGAGTGAGCAGGATTCAATTCAAAAACATAATTGTATTCATCCTGAATAATTACCTCAACCCTCATTGGATATTGACTCGGAACTGAATAGGCTTGATACATTGGAGTTGGAATTTGATAAGCTATTGCATATTTGCTACCCTTGAATGAGCCATCTTAATGGATGAATATATTACCAGATTAATGATCTTCACCAATCTATATATATTTGATAATACCTACCTTCCTCCCAGACGCTTGTCCATAATCCATCAGATGATGTATTGCCCATCTTTCTTGTTTTTTTTTATGAAAGGAATTTACGATTAATGATGATGAACTTGAGGAACAATTTAGTGACCAAATTGGGGTGCAACTAAGGCATCAATGAAATTGATCTTCCTTAGTGATAATTCTATTGAAGATTTAATTGAGATCTATTTGAGAATAACTGAATGGATTTTAGAAACACTTTCTATGAACGATTGATGCTCCAAACTCTTCATATTCTTCTTTTAATATCCAGGGCAGTGAATCGAAAGATTCTGACGATGCCAAAATTGATCCGCCAATCCATGATGAATATCTTCTATCTGGTAAAGCATGAACATTAATATTGATTGAGGATGGAGCCAAATTAGTTAGCTCCTTATTTAGTCTCTCACTAAAACCCTTAAACAAGGTATTTCCACCTCCTAATCCAATATTATTGTATAGTTCTTTTCGAATATCAATTTCACAATATCCTATTGATCGATAAATAATTTCATGAATTCCATTACATTCCATGCCAATCAATGATGGCTGGAACATTATTTCAGTACACTGAAATCTTTCACTTGGCCCAATATCAATTTGCGTTCCATCAGGTAATTCAAATTTAGTTTTCTCGTCACTATTCATCTCTAATTCAAAATTTAAAGCAACTTCACAGGCATTCTCCTTAATATTATTAATAATTATTTCTTCAGTAATTGAATGTCCACTCTCCATCAATATCTTTTCCAAATATTTGCTCACATCTCCACCAGCCAAATCCAGTTCAATCACGGCATTCCTCAGTACATACCCTTCGTAAACAGGAACCACAATTGAGATTCCACCTCCAGATTCTAACATCACACCACTCACTTGATTCATACTACACAGTGATAAGACCGCATTAACAGCAATGCAAAATGCAGGAATATTAAACGTTTCAAACAATGTCTCAGTCATCTTCTCTCTATTCACCTTTGAATTCATTGCCGATTCACTTATCAGCATTGGATGTTCCTCTGGAGAAATTTGCAATTCATTGTAAAGTGAATGGTGCAACAACTTTTCAAATCCATCCCAGTCAATAATGATGCTTCTACTAATAGGAAACTTTGGTAATTGATTTCGGAGCCTCCAACTCTCAGGCTCCTCTCCGACATAAAGATCATGAGTTCCTGGTGTTATTGGAACATTCTTTTCATTGGGTTTTCCAATTATTGAAGGGAAAACAGCTCTCGGAGCATCATCACCTGCGAAACCAACTTTCATGAAGGAAGATCCATAGTCAATGACGATGGCTTGCACATCTAGTGACATTTTTTTCAAGTTCACCAAACTTTGCAAAAAGAAAATTATATGCTGACGGACGGGATCGAACCGGCGACCAATGGCTTATTAGACCAACGCTCTACCGACTGAGCTACGCCAGCTTCACATTCACACTAAATGTATTATTGATAAATGCATAAACGACCATTGTATTCATATCAAAGCTTCAATAATTATTAACCATCATAATATTTCTTATTTTGAAATTTACAAAAAAGGTTTGTTACAGAACAAGCTTCCTTTTTAGCACTTTAAAAACCCAAAATGTTTCTTTTTAAAACTTAAAAAAAAATGTACAAACACCAACTCTACCTCATCAAGAAGTCAACAACAACACTTCATCACAACAAAACTCTCGGAACTCTCAGTAATCAAGTGAGAAATGTATCAAACTTTACAACACCACAACTTGTTAAACATTTAAAAAGACATCATCAACACAGAGGATCGATTGTATTTAATTATGATCAAATTGTGAGTGGAGAACCAAAATACAAACTCTCTCATTCATCAATGGAACCACTCTTGGAATATATCTTGTCTAAGAATGGTGCGGATGGACATGTAAATCATCAAGCCTTGTTTTTGGAAATTTCACCAGTCTCTCAAAGTTTATTCGGATGTTTTATTCATAATACTAATAGAGGACTTGCTCAGGGTAATGTAGATTTGTGGCATTATCCAAATGCTTCAGAATTTGTGAGTGATGGTTTAAAACAAAGTGAATATGCTGCTAGAAAGATGGCTTTGACAAATCAATTCTGGGGAGGTGGAAAAGGAATTATTCAAACCAATCCAGATTTGGATTATTCAAATTATGAAGTTAGAAGAACTGTCATGAACGAGTTTGGAAGTTTTGTGTCATCTTTGAGAGGTGTTTTCTATGCTCAGGAAGGTTTTGGAATTCAACCAAATGATATGGCTCACATCTTTGAAAAGACTCGTTTCACTACCAGTATTCCTAAAAAGTTTGGAGGTAATGGAAATATTTCTCCATCGTTTTCAAGCAAGATTGTAATTAATACAATGGAATCTGCCTTGTCACATGTAAATTTGGGAAATTTGTCTGGTAAAATTGTTGCCATTCAAGGATTTAATAAGGAAACTGAAGGCATCATTTCGAGCCTCTTGAGAGAAAAACATTCCCTTAAAGTTATTCTCACAGAAACTGATCCACTCAAAATTAAGACTGTCAAGGGTTTGTTTGCTGAGGAAGTTAACGATCAAAGATTGGATGTGAGATTGGTCTTTGAAGATCAAGATTCAATTCTCAATTTGGACGTAGACATTTTATATCCTTCATCTGGAACTATCTTTAATTCTTCCAACATTCCTCTCGTTAATGCAAAGATTATTTGTGGAGTTTCTCAATCTCAATTTGAAGATGCTTCTAATGAAAGACAATTGAGAGAAAATGGTGTCATTCTCATTCCTTCTCTCCTAACCAAAACCTCAAACTTTTCAGCAGTGAATGAAATTTATGGTATCATTCCAAACAATGATCCAGAAATTACCAAAATGTTTTCCAAAGATTATGAATATTCCATTTACAATACTGTCAAGAAAGTTATCGAATTATCAGAGCAAAACAAAATCTCCACCCAAAATGCTGCTTTCGAATTGGCTGATAAGAAAATTAATGAACCCCATCCATTCATTCCACTCAGAGGTTCTCAAATCATTCACTCACTTGTTTCTGATGAATGGCATTTGCAATTACAATAATTCTGTTCCATCCATCCACAATAAAAACTTGTATTGAGAATTGTTAGATGATATGATTACATGCAAGTGGTGGTTACAAAGTTCATCCTCATTAAAATTCCAAAAAAAAATGATAATTCCACATCCCGAAAGTCAACCTGATGAGATTATTGAAAATATTCTTAATTTTCTTCCTCCAGAAAGTTTATTGAAAGTTTCGTCTACTTGCAAACAATTTAGAAGAATTTGGAAAGAAACTCCTAACGGAATTGTGTATAATATGATCATTGAATTGAACTATTCCTTTAAGAAACTATCCTATTCTATGAAAGAGCAACTAGATGTTACAAAATTTGCAAAAGAAACTATTTGTAGAATATCAGAAAATCTAGAAAACAAACACAAAGAAACACGACACTATGAATTTATTTCTAAATTTGGAGAAATGGATCTGTCAGAAAATTTAAAAAGTGCCATTTCAAAAATTGACAGAGTTGATTATGGAGAAGAGTCAAAATATTATGATTGGAGAAATGGAATGACACATGCAATGGAAATATCCTTTGGTCAACTAGGAATTGTGAGATATTGGGAATGGGAATACCAACAAGGTTGTCATTGGGACTCGAACGAATCAAGTGTCATGAATAACAAGTTGAAAGATTTGAATTTAACAAATGATGACTACTTTATTCGAATATATTACAAAATATTGCAATGCTAAAACATGTAGTCTTGAAATTTCTAGATTTGAAATTTTGGGAGGAGGTGGAATCTCTGTTTTACAATCATGAATTGGTCTTTAATTTTAGTGATATTTTGTAAATTTAGTTTTCTGAAATATTCGAATAGGATGTTTCTTCTTAATTTTTCCCAATTTCGTCTTTTATTGGAACAGTTGACGACAAGTATTTAACTCTCATTTCCAATAAAACAAATATTCAAATCAGTCAAGTGTTTCATTTCGCTAACGTGTTTAGCTCCTTCACTTCCACCAATATCAAGCAGAACTCATTTCACTCAAATATTTAACTCCTTATAGAGCAGTCTGCAAAGACCTCGAGATTGGTAGAGGAAACTCATATTAAATTATGGAATATAAAAGTATATTATGTTAATATTACTATGAGAGATTAAATATAGAATTCATTAAGTGATGTTAATAATTTTGCTTCATCACTAATTCGATTGGCATAAACATAGAGTGATGTTAATTGTTTCATTCCACTTATGAACTTGGCTCCTTCATCACCAATTTCATTGTAACATATATCAAGTGATGTTAATTGTTTCATTTCACTTATCAATTTGGCTCCTTCATCAAGAATTATATTGTTAGAAATATTAAGTGATGTTAATTGTTTCATTCCACTGATGAATTCGGCTCCTTCATCATAAATTAGATTGTTAGAAATATCAAGTGATGTTAATTGTTTCATTTCACTTATGAATTTGGCTCCTTCAACACCCATTGGATTGCTAGAAATATCAAGTGATGTTAATTGTTTAATCTCGCTTAGATATTTGGCTCCTTTATCATCAATTCCACTCTTATAAATAGTAAGTGATGTTAATTGTTTCATTTCACTTATCAATTTGGCTCCTTCATCACTAATTTCATTCTTAGAAATATTAAGTGATGTTAATTGTTTCATTCCACTTATGAGTTTGGCTCCTTCAACACCAATTTCATTCTTAGAAATATCAAGTGATGTTAATTGTTTCATTTCACTTATAGATTTGACTCCTTCATCATAAATTAGATTTCCAGAAATATCAAGTGATGTTAATTGTTTCATTTCACTTATTAATTTGGCTCCTTCAACACCAATTCCATTCTTAAAAATATTAAGTGATGTTAATTGTTTCATTTCACTTATTAATTTGGCTCCTTCTACACCAATTTGATTGTCAGAAATATCAAGTGATGTCAATTGTTTAATCTCACTTATGAATTTGCCTCCTTCTACACCAATTTCATTGACACCAATACTAAGTGATGTTAATTGTTTCATTTCACTTATGTATTTGGCTCCTTCCACACCAATTTCATTGTAATATATATAAAGTGATGTTAATTGTTTCATTTCACTTATGTATTTGGATCCTTCTACACCAATTCGATTATTACATATATTAAGTGATGTTAATTGTTTCATTTCACTTATGGGTTTGGCTCCTTCATCACCAATTCGATTGTTAGAAATATCAAGTGATGTTAATTGTTTCATTTCACTTATGAATTTAGCTC